AGAAAAAATCATAAGCAAAAAGATAAGGTAAAAAATTTCCTGAGAAGGTTATGGTTTACACATACAGATGCAGGTATATACTCACTATAAATAAAATATTTTAATAAACATAGAATGAACAATATTATAGCATTAAGGGAATAAAAATAAAATTACCTACAATCTCACTGATAATCAGCTATTTAGCTGTTTTACTTTTTCCACAATTCTTTCCAGTAGAAAAAACAGTTTATTAAGCCTGGGTTCTAACTCTAGTTACAGCATTTTGATCTTTCTAGCACCTTCTTTCCTAGAAGCCCTCAACCCTCTTCTTTAGGAGGTGGAGCTGGAATCATCCACCAGTGTCTGCTTGGGCCTGCTTCTTACCCTTCAGGGGCTCAGCACTCTATTTGTAAAGCATTTCCTTGCTTTATTCATATGCCACTCTAGATATGTTTTCTTCCTTAGTTAAGTGAGCATGTCCCTAAGTAAACTGAAAAAATCTTAAAAGCAGGAAAACTTCTCCCAAATTTTCTTCTGTTTCCCAAACCATGTACATTATAGAGCATACTGAAGTACATTACTTGCTCAGAGGATGTTATGATTGATAGTGTTCATACCTTAATTCAAGTTGCTCACTTTACTAAATTATGACACTCAGTTTCATAATATTTTCTGAATTCTGGGCAAGTGTAAACTTTCCACTTCCTATATTTAGTTTCAGTTATGAGTGCACTCTGTAGAACACACAAATCCTTGCCAAGTAGTAAAGAATACTGATTGAACACTCATTATGTGTGAGGTATTTTTGCTTGAAAACATATGTACTCTGGAAATGCCCGATTTCTATTTCTATAAGGTGAGACAGTCGTATTTTTCTCTTGTCTTTGTGTCCATGTTAATGGTAACTGTTCTAGAATATAAGTCCCAAGAAAATGTAACTGTGTCTCTTCAGCTTATGTGATGCACATGATTGCTCAATATCATGACATTGCTTGATGGTAAAATGCAAAGCCAGTCTTCACTGGGGGACCTGACAGTCTTCTAAAGTTATTTAATAAGATACCATTAGGTGCTATCTCCTAAAAGGAAAAAATAACCTAGGAAAACAAAAGCACATTGTTAAATGTGTAAATTGTTCTTCAGTGAAGGAGGTTTGTGTATATAATTGAGTTTAGTTGTTTTTGTTTATAGAGCTCCTGTAATTTCCCTGTGCCAGATTCTGAGTCAAAAGAGAAATATCAAGGTGCTTAGGCAACAGCTGTTCTCAGCCCTTCAGGGTGGTAATTCTGAGCCGGGGGCTGTGCTTATTCTTGTCATGAAATGATGCTCTTTGACTGTAAAACCCCGCATTCTTCCCGCAGTGTTATTACAGTGACTGTCCTTGTCAAAACAAGGGTTAGTCATCAAGTCTGTTTAACAGATATCCCAAAAGAGAAAAGAACCCATTATGACCATATGTGTGGTTCGTGAACTTTTGTCTGAAGTACTCCTAGGATCCAACTGTGTGTTACTGAACACATTTCTAAACCTCACTGTACGATTCCTTCTCTGTAAAAGAAGAGCAATCTTTGAGGTAGTCTTTGTATTTTCAGAGGTTTCAGTGATCCTGGTTGGTTAGTCATCTCTAAAATGTTTAATAAACTAAGTGATATGGCTGTGTGTTATGGAGCTTGCTACTCATCTGGGCCATTCTTCTAACTATTTTGGTCGTTTGGAAGAAGTTAGTTAATACGAAGTAAAAACAAAGAATATCCAAAAATGCAATTTGGAAAACAATAATGATGAGGACTCATTTTACCTGATTTGAAAATATTTAAATTTGATGATTACCAAAACTGCATATTATTTTGTTAAATAAGACACGATCAATTAATATGGAAGGAATGGCAGAGATTCCAGAAGTTAAAAGCTACTTTAATCATGTCTAAGAGCAGAAATAACAAAATGGTAGAGAAAAGTAGCATTTGTCAAACATTTATTTTGATATAGAGAATAATCTATCTCTGTACAAATTGTGAATGTATAGCAATGGAAAGAGAAAACAGAACATAAGAAAAATGACAGTTGGCAAATTGAACACCAATAAAAAATAAATTTATTATTAAAAAAAAGAAAAATGACACATGCCAATGTATTGAATGAAATTCCTTAACGTGGATACAAATATATCAGATGAATATACCAATTCTATTTGATGTATGTGCAAGGGAGATGAATGCTTGAGGAAGTCTTCAATCATTTTATAGGAAAACGTGCTGCCTCTTTGCATTAAAATAAGCTAAAATGTTAAAATAAAACATTCTTACTGATAAAGGTACTACAATCAGATTTTTTCTTTCTCCATGGAGTAACAAGGATGCTGTGGATGGCATTGTGATTGTTTGAGTTGTTGTGGAGAGTAATTTGTTTTAGTCATAACATTACTGATGGTGACGGTGACAGTGGTGATGCTAGGGTATGTGCCAGTTACTGTGCTGAGTAAGTGGGGGCACATTTGAAGAAAGCTTGCTATCTTGGACACGTGTATGTCTGTGTGATCAGGCATGTCATTGAGCACATCACACAAAACCACCTTTTCAGATCCAGTGTTGGACATTTTCCCCAAAAGCTGTTTTCTTTATAGGCCATATTAATTTTCAAAACATTTAAGAAGGCTTTTTTTCTATATTCATTTTTAAATCTATTTTTGCAAATGTTTTCCCCCACGTCCTGAATGTCTTCTCTTCTCCTGGCAGGTGGATTCTTAATCATCTTTTGGGATTTCATTCAGATTGTGCCTTGTCAGTGAAGTCTTGGTTCCTGTGGCCCCTTAGGCCCACTGAGGTTGGCAGCTCTCCCTGCTTCCCTGGAGACCACAGCTCCCTGGAGGCCAGGGGCTGTGTCACAGCCACCTTTGTGCACACAGTGGGACTTAACACCCTGGTGTGGAGTGAATGAATTAAAAAAAAAAGGAAAACCCTAATATTAATGTTATTTACCAGCTCCTTTGTTCAATTTTATTCAACTGAATCTTGTCACATTGGCTCACTATAAACTTATTTAATGACAATCAAATTGTGTAACTCCCAACAAGTCTAGAATATGAGGTAGGAGGTTACTATCTGCTACTTTATTGTCCAGCAGGCTTTTGTTGAGGTTTGTATTTGTCTCATTGCTTATTTGCTGTTTGCTTATTTGTTGGTTACTATCAGGCTCGTCCTAGTGTTTATAAAGTTGCTCAAGGAGGTACATTTATCACCATTTTAAGACCAGGGTAGCATTAATGAACTCTTCTTTGCTGTTTAATATTCTTAATAGAAAATACACCTAAGGGCCTATCTTCTTCCTCAGGAAGTTACGTTTTTTTTTTTTTTTTTTGTAAACTTTTGGGATCCAGAAATGAAAAATATTCCCCTTATATAAATTATTCATCAAAATCTTCATTCAAAAATTAAGGCTTCAAGACAAAGAATGAATTTAGATTAAAGAGTTTATGATATCTGTGTCAGAAGATGGAGGCCCTGCTGCAAGTGACTGAGACCTCATTTAACAAGACAGAGATTTCTTTCTCTGTCATGTAGTTGTTTGGATGCAGGAGGCACAGATCAAGTATGATGACCCAATTCTACATGGTTGTTTGGGGTTTGGTGTGGTGTGCCAAGGTGTCAGGTATTCGGGCTCCTTCTTTCTCATGGCTTTAACATTTAATATTTGTTAATTTCCTTTTTATTATATGTTTTGATTATTCTAATGATTATCCAATCAGCAGTCCTGCTTGAGTGGAAGTAGAAGTCATGGTTTATAGTATTTTATGGGTTTTGCATGGCAAGATAGTCTTGACAATAAATATTTGGTTTGAAAGTTCATGTTTTTGAAAGAAGAGTCATTAATCTACTACTGTTTGCAATACTCTTGTGATATGAGTTGTCCGGGATGGGATGAGAAGCGAGTATAGATCATGGTGCAGGATAGGAACAGATGGAGTGCTCCTGGAGCCTCGAGGACAGAGTTTATTTCCAACATGCGTGCTAAGGAGGTCTTCATGGGAAGTAATACAGTTGGGCTGCCCTTGAAGGATGAGTTGGGGAGGATGAGGGCAAAGAAGAACATGGGTGGTATTGTGAGGAGAGTGGGAGTGGAAAGTACCAGGGCAGGAGGATGCGGTGTCTGGTTGCCATGCAGGGACCACTTCACAGATGACTTGTGACACCACTGTGCCTTAGGAATGAAGTCCACAGGAAGGGTGTTTGTGAGCAGGGAAGAAAAGTGAGTGTGTGTGGTTTTTCTCCTGATAGAGCAATAAAAGAGAATTTTATCTTGGGTCGTACTTTAACAAAACTGCATCGATTTTTAACTTACATTTTTCAAGGTACTTCTGTGAACTAAACTGATCTTTAACCTAGTACATATGACTTATGTTTAGATGAGATTACCTTTGTATTTTGAGTTAAGGCACAATAACGACAGTATTTGTAAATGTATGACTTTTAAAGGGGGACAGAAACTGAGTATTCACAAGGGGCATGGTTCTAAGTGCTTTCTGAAGGTAAAAGGTTGTGCTTTTGAATTTACTGCCACATTCTGCTGATACACCATTTAGAGAAAGTTCCAATTTCTGATGAAGAGCAGAGCACGGACATGATTTTTCACTTAGGTGTGCAGAAAGAATTGGTTAGCTTTGTGCACAAAATAGGCTGAAATCAAGCCTTAATTAGTCAGACTTTTGCATAATTCATCATAGTCACTTTGAAAGTCCAGCTGAATATGCTCTTGATTTTTATCACAATGGGTTCATTTTAAAGGACTGATTGTCTTTTATTAGTTCCTTGCTACACAGATATTTGCATTTTCCAAGTGAAGCCATGACAATGCACCTAGTATCTTTTTAAAGAAATGAATTGTTACATAAGGATCCCAAAAGAAGTGCGTCAATCCATGAAACTGTTTTTCTTATTTAATATCATTGATATCAATATGATTAATCAGCTTTAAAGACAAAAAAGTAAGCTAAGGTTCTTTCTGTCTCTTTGAATCCATAGGCTGTCCATCTGGCCCAGGCAAGCTTCCAGATTGAAGCCTTTGGCTCCAAATTCATTCTTGACCTCACACTGAACAAGTAAGTATTTAGTTTTGATTCTGTAAGGAGCAAGTACAATAAAATTTTACTTCATGATGATGGCTTAGTCAAAATAGTGTCTTTGTTGAAGCAACGGATATTTTCTAGCTGATTATGTCATATTGCACTTAAAGAAAAATATAAAAATCTGAAGTTAATTCTCTTTTTCTTTTCCTGAAAGAAAAGGCATTTAACATTTAACATGTTAATATCTCAAAACGGTACTTAGATATTATGATTGTAAATGGAATAAATATTTGAAGTAATGCTAGTTAATTGTTAACCATAATCATTACTATATGTAGGAAGCATGATCAATTACTGACTCAAGTATAATTAGACTCCAGTCTAGAAATTTCTTCCATTTTACTTTTCATTATGCAATTCGGATGGCTTCTATATGAAGAACAAAGAAAATGATAACTTGCAATAACAATTTTGAGAAGGTTCTTTGCTTTATAATTTCCTCTAATACAGTTTTTTAGAGATTTGGTCCCAATGAAAATTTATCCAGTTTTTCTCAGATACGTTTATGTTGATACTTAAGTGCTGTTTCCTAAGTTGGAACCAGTTATACAGATATCTTTGTACAAAGCATGAACAAAAGCTATTTACTTAAGCAGGGTTCTAAAGTCTCCAATGGAGTTAGCAGTGAGCCTTTATTTCATGAAAGAAATTTCCTGTATAGTTTTCTCTAGCTGAGGGAGCTCCAGTCAGTATTTTAAATTCTTAACAATATTTTGTCCGGGACTTCATCTTTGCCAGAAAAATACCACATAATGCTATCAGACACTAAAATGTAAGTGACCACAGTCAATATCTGAGAAATTGCAAAGGAATATAAAGAATAACTATTAAATTTCTTGTACGCCAAATTCTGTGAGCTCTGCAGAAAAAAAAAAAAAAGCAGAGTCAGCTTGGGTGCTCCTTACTCAAGTGTTGTTGCAGCTTTAAGTCAGAATGAATCAGCAGAACTCAGAATTTCCTGTGGTAAAGGTGTCGTAGGTTTTCCTCTGTGAGCCTGCTAAGCACTGGTTGAGTGCCTTCTCCCCCTGCTGTGTCAGCACTGAACCTGCCCAAGAGATTTGTCTTGCCGAATCTTGGACTATGTTGAGTAGCAAGGCCTTGGCTAATTTTAGTTTGTTTAAGGTCCTCTATTCCTTTGACTCTTGCTGCAATGGAGACTGTCATTCCAGTCTGAAGGATGGTGATGGCAACTAACATCACCATGTGTTTTGAACGTGAAGACATCATGGCCACAACAAAGCCCCCCAGTCACATCACTGAGGAAGGCGCACCTGGGATGTCTATTAGACATAGAGGTCAGAAAACACCTCAGAACATTATTTACCACTAGTATTTAACTTGTGGAAGAATCAAGTTGAGCAGCTCCTCTGAGGGGCCTTGCCTTGAGGAGCTTATAGTCTAGTCAGGAAATATTGATAGATAAATATATGATTTAGAAGGGTGTGAGATTTTACTACTAGAGATAAACATGGGGGGCTATGGGAGCACCAAAGAGGCAGTTCTGCAGGCAGGAGTGTAAAGAGTCATCCTGGAAATAGTGACAGGTGAGTTAAATCTTCATGAGGAGGAGGAGTGTTGGGGAAATGGAGACTTGTGGCTCCACAAAGGAAAGAGTGTGTGCTCAGGAGATAGGCACAGGTTGCTGTGTAGCATGTTAATGGAAGCCTGAGATTTTTGTTGAATTTCATGGTAAATTATAAGGTTGAGGAAAAGGGACGTGAGTCAGGATAGGTAGGCCCAGGGACAGCTCAACTCATGGAAGATCTTGTACATTATGCTTAAGAGCTTGGGCATTATACCCTGGAGCCTGAAAAATGAAATAAGGGGAATAAACAGAAGTTCTGTTCTCAGAAAGTGCTAAGAAATGCTCTCAAGAAATCTTCAGTTGATAAAAATCATCAGGATTGCTTTGATGTGGAAGGCAAGGCAGAAAGACGAGTTAAAGTGGACAGGTGTCTTGATTAAATAGCTAGGTGGAAGGTTGTATCCAGCTGAAACAGGCAGCACAGGGAATGACTGGCTAAATGGTGAAGAGAAAAGGATGTGAAATCAGAATTGATTTGAGGGGTTTGGGACATCCATGGGGCCATGTCTAGGAGATAGGTAGGTGGCAGTTGGTGATTGTAGAGCATTGTTTTCATATAATGTTAATGACAAGCATGCTGTGAATGAGATTGCTCAGAGAGGATAGATAGAACACGAACGTAAGCTGGGAAGATGGTTAAGAGTTGAAAAGAGGTATAGGAGCCCAAGAAGAGACAGAGTGAGTGTTCAAAGAAAGGGGGAAAATCAGGAGAATGATTAAATTGAGATTTTCAGAATAGAAAGATGTGATTTATAGCCTCACATGTAAAAGTATTTAGTGAGATTAGGAGCCAGGATTGCCTTTTGTATTTATCCATTAAGTTCCTGGCAGAAGCCAGGTCATAGCAGGCTGGGGGTGACTTAAGGGAGGTGATGTGGAGACAGCAGGTGCACCCTGAGGAGGTTTGGGTAAGAGGAAGAGAGGAGGATGATAGTGGCCAGAAGAAGACACCGGGGCCTGGGCTGGTAGGGGTAACATAGCAAGTTGACAGACTGAATGATGGAGCTGGAAAGAGCAAGAGGTAATGATACAGAAGAGACAGGAGATTATTTATGGAGCCAGACCTGAACGAAGACAAAAAGTCATGAGACCAACAGCACAAAGGGCAGAATGTAGTTTTGAACCATGGGGGGCAGTTCATTCCCAACCTCTGGGGGTGTGCAAGCAGAGATTGGTTTCCAGCTGAAGGGATGGCATTTAGAAAATGCCTCTTGAGATTTCCTTCTTGAGGACAGCATTATCTACCATAGGGATTGGGATGGACAGGGAGGCTGGGTTGGGGCTTGAGGAAAATGATGAAAATTTAGGCTAATTGCTGGGAAGAATGGATGAGGAAGCTTACCAAGGTCATGTTGAAGAATGTATGAGCAACCTTCATCAGAGATTGTGTGTTACATGTCAGTCTTTGAGTCATTCTTCTTCATGGTGTTTTTTTCTTTCTTTCTTTTTTTAACCTGGGGTTCTCTATCACTGTGGCATGTGAGGGAAGGAAAGGAGGCAGATTGTAGTGTGGATCAGGGTTCAGGTTTTCTGGGGATAGCACAGGGGAAGAAGAGTGGAGGCACAGCTCTTAGAATACTGGGGAATGACGTGGGTTGTTAAGTGTTGGGATCCGGGCTGGGCAGGAAGGGAGATGAGGTCAGGTGGAGGCTTAGGGACTGAACTGAGAGAAAGTGGAGGTCTCTGCAGTGGGAGGAAGGTATAAGAGCTGTCTGTACTCGTGCTGTATCTCCCTTGTGCAGAGTCTTGTACCTTCTGAGCTCAGGATGAGTGTGTGATACCGGTATGACCTAGAGAAGGGGGAATTGTATAAGAGTATGATCTGTGTGGGCAGAGGGTACATCTCTAGTTTAAGTGACTTTCAATGGCTGGGGTTAACTGGAAAAATCTGATTCATGTTAGAATAAACTAAGGAGAATTTTTTGATCATTCATGGAGGAGCTGAAAGAGGTTTTGAGGAAAGAAGAATCTCATTTCCACCATGTAGTGGCCAAACTACTTACAACAATTTAAAATTGTTGGAGAAGGCCACCTGGGTAGCTCAGTCGTTGAGTGCCTTTGGCTCAGGTCATGATCCCAGGGCCCTGGGATTGAGTCCCGCATCAGGCTCCTTGCAAGGAGCCTGCTTCTCCTCCGTGTCTCTCATGAATAAATAAATAAAATCTTTAAAAAAATTGTTGGAAAATGAGAAAGGGAAAAGATACATGGGAAGTATGTGGGCTCGGTGAAGGAATGAAAGCATACAGATGTCAACATAAACTAATCAAAGCGGTGGCCATAGAATCTAAGTGGTTAAGGAGATCACCAGAACTGGACTGCCCGTTTGTGAAGACTACCCTGAAGTGGGTTCCTGAGAGGAAAGTCTTTGACTCTATGCTTTTATAGGTTGGACAAGTGAGGCCTTGGCTTGCTGAGGCATTTTATGGTGGAGATGTGTGTTTTATTGGTTTGTTCAGCAAATGTTGAGCAACCATCCATTGTATCCAGTGGTGCTGATGCTGCTGGGAATAGGACGGGCAGGGTCCCTGCCTCCTGCCATGGAGCTTCGTTCACTGCACATGCAGGTGGCCAACATGATTTGGATGTCAAGTAAGCCAGAAGGTCTGTCACAGAAATCAGAGGAGGGACACTGAGCTGAAACCTGATCATCAAAGATGAGCCACCACCAAAGCTAGAAAGCTGAGGACAGTAGGGACGGTAAGTGCAGTGAGGGTAGGTTGAAGAGATAAGGTCAGAGAGGAAGCCATGTAGCCAGATCATGAAGGGCCATCATCCATGGAGACATGTTTGGTGGAAGCCAGTGGAGGGCAGTAAGCATGGATGTTACACCAGTGGATTCACATTTTATTTAGCCCCCTCCAAAATCCTAGCTGTGGTCTCAGAGTCTGTGGTCATTTTCCTTTTAGGATACTCTTTTCAATTTTGTTTTGTTTTTCTTCTAGAATAACCATTTTTCTTCTAGAATAACTGTTTTTCTAAGTTCAGAATGTTTAAAAAGTTTTATTAGATTAACAATGCTTAATGTGTATTGATCCCTGGAAATCCTGGGGTGTCCAATAATTGTCTCCTTCATATTTGTGACTGGAATTATGCCAAAGCCCATATTATACCTACCATTAAATTTTCTGGTGTCTTCAGCAAATGTTTTAGGGAGTAGGAGTAATCAGAGCTACATAATGGTTGAGAGTACAGGTTCTGGAATCAAAGAGACCTGGGTTTGAATCTGGAGGGGCTGCCATTTACTAGCCGTGTGTCCTTGGGCAAGTTTCTTCTTTTTAATAACAGCTTGAATAACTCCATATGCCACAAAATTCACTCCTTTAAAATGTACCATTCAGTGGGTTTTATTATATTCACAGACTTGTGTAATTACATCACCGTCTAATTC